CTGAGAGGGCAATTGAGACTGGGCGTGGTGGTGCACGCCTATAATCCCAGCTCTTGGGAGGCTGTAAACAGGAGAATCACTAGGAGTCCAATCTAGTAGTGAGACCCTGAACACCCTGTAGGCCCTTCCCTAAAATACAAAAAAAAAAAAAAAGTATAAAAGTATCAAATTTGTAACATGATTTTTCCCCAATGGTGATGTAAAATATGTCCCAAACTTTATTTATTTATGAGGTGGGGGATTACTGCTGACTGAATCCACAGCCTTATTCAGAACCGCATCCTCAGCTCTTTTAATTTTACTGAGACTAAGTTGTGCAGGTTGGTCTCAAACTTGCAATACTACTGCCTGCTTCAGCCTCCTGAGTAACTGTTGTTATAGAAGTACACCGCTGTGCCAGGCAAACCTCTAGTGTCTTTTATGTTTAGTTGTGTTTTTTTTTGGCGGAACTGGGGATTGAACTCAGGCCCTTACACTTGCCAGGGAAGTGCTTATTCCACTGAGCCATCTCCCCGGCCCCTTATATTTAGTTTTTAAAAAACATTTTTATTCGTTTTGGTGGCACCAAGGATTGAACTCAGGACCTTGCACTTGCCAGGCAAGCATTTATTCCACTGAGCTATCCCCCCCAGCCCCCTAGTTGTATTTTTTTAGAATGTCACTTTAGTGACATTGCAAAATTTTCACTCATCATTTTGTAATAAACAATGATTTTTCTCCACAACTTGTTCTCTTCCTTTACAATCAAATAAAGCCCTAAACCGGTAGCTGTTTCCGATATTTTAGAATTACCTTATTTTCTGTGACAACACTGAAAAGGAACATTTCTTTTTTTTTTTTTTTAATTTTTTATCTATTTGTGTGTGTGTGTGTGTGTGTGTGTGTGTGTGTGGCCAGCTCAGCCCACCAGGGGGCAGCCCCGGCTGGCATGTGGTGCTGGGGGATTGAACTGTGGTCCCTGTGCTTTGGTAAGTTTGTTCTAAGTAGGTGCTTTAGACCACTGAGCCATCTCACCAGCCCCAAGGAACATTTCTTTAGAAGCCCTAATATACAATTAGTAAATGCTTTAGAAAATGTTTCTGTCCATTGCTTCCTTTTCCTTTCTTCTCTTTATAGATTATAATTATAAATCGTAGATTATAAGTGTGGTCTTGTGCTTATTCATACTGCTTCTGGAAACCCCAGTTTTGCTGTTTGTAGATATCCAATACTAATTTTTTTTTTTTTTT